AATGGCGAATACGAGCTCGGGATAGGCACAGAGGGGCTCGAGAGGATAGGAATGACCGCGAACGAGGCACCGAGAAATTAACGAGTCACTGGTCGGCTAAAATTATACACGGGAATAAACAGAGGAGGATCTGGAAACAGGTAGAAGCGCTGGTGAAAGACCCGTGCATCAGAATGCAGATCATGGAAATGTGACCGAGGCGTTGAGTAAAACTAACTACGGGTTTGCACGGTCACTTTATTTCCCCTTTTGTTTTTTACCCGTGGAGTAATCAGCCGAAGAGGTATTTTGATGGTGGCAGAAAAACATGGGTACGCAGTCGTTAAAGTATTTAGCATTAATCGAAGAATATTTCAGTTTTCATAGAGTCATGTTAATTCTTGGGTGAGATATGGCACTTATTATCTTAATGTTTGAATTATTGTGAGAGAAGTGTCATGATTGTGTATTTTATATCTTTACACAATAATTATGTGATATTTATTATGACCGTGCAGATATTTGCACATGTATATACTGTAGTATTACATCGCAAATTAATACAATTCTTTTGTAAAAATATATAATTTTTTTGTAAAACATTACAATACATGATTTTGTTAACGACATAAAATATAGATGTAATTCAATGCAAATGATGAAATATACAAAGAATTTAATGATGACATAAAGTATGAAGACGTTGAATGTCAGATAGAGCACGTCATTGCGTACTCTGAATTTGTTTACTTTTTATTACAGTCTCGAGAGAAAAACGCTTCTTCTTTTCTTATAAAATCCAATACAGGATGTACTCAACAATGTTGAGATGTTGGTGGCAATCATAGAAAGAGATTTTACAGGAAACTATTGAAATGAATTACCGATGCCATTTATCGATGCTTTAATAAACGAAACAGTTCGATATGATTTCAGTAATTATTCGTTGTCGCATTATAACAAGATTTATACCAATTTATCTTTTTTGTTAAATATCATTTCAATTTTTCGCTATCGTCATAATATTTAAATGTAATTGTTTAATATCTTTTTTTGTTAGTGAAATAGTTATTTTTGCATTTTATAAGTACTTTATGTTATTTTTTAAATGTATACATCTATTTAAAAAACATTTTTTCATTTAAATATATATCTTTAAATATATATTAACGGGATTGATGAACGAAAATATGGACTTGACACACATCATAAGAACGCGGAACCAGTTACTTCACGTTTATAGATTAGTTCGATAGCTTGAAAGAACGTCGATACCGTCCGTTACCGTTTATTGCTTCGGAAACGAAGTTGAATGCGTCTCTCGTTCTATGTTCTCAGCTATTCTTCGATAGTTCCTTTAAACTACCGAATAGGCTTCCAAATAACTTCTAGGCAACCTCCATTATAGATGAGCTCTTTGTAAAACTGTGATAGAAATCTCCGTTCTCGTCAAGTGGAATCAGAAGTAAATCGGAAATCAAGAATCCATCTTTCTTACTAATGTCTTTTTTTTTGCATGGCTTGTATTTGTTGTATATTTCTACTAATACTTTTTATAAAATATATTCGTTATTGAAGTTTGGAAAACATTTTGAATAATTCTTTAGTTTGGCTTATTATATCTCGCTACTATTAAGTAAATTTTTAGTGACAATTCAATAAATTGACAATTTCTTCTTTTTTTAGTGAGGAATAAAAGTTAAGTTAAAATAAAAACTAAGTAATCTTATCACGATTCAAAATTGTGAAGGAATATTTATTCATTAATCGTAAGGAAGATGCAGCTTAGAATAAGTTTCCACCACGTTCGCTTGTATTATGCACATTTTGCTGTTACTAGAAAAAGAAACACGCGATGTTGCGGCAATACAAAGTGATGCGTGTAATCACGGCGTCGTTGAGAAATGGTCGACTAGCGGGAACATCTGGCGCTTTGAAGCGGAAAACGGGCAAATCTTCCCTCATTTTTCTCATCCCTGCTCGGGACGATACGCTTTCTAGTTAGCGTTCTCTCGCCGCGAACATCATAGATTTTTGAGTTTATTTTCATACCAGATAAATATGAATCTCTGAGAAATGGAGGAATAATTAAGCGAACGGACAAAAGAAACTCGTGACTTGCGCGATGTAACTTTGCAGCGACTTTCTTAAATTTTGTCCCCATTTGTGTCCTACATATTACGCAAACAGTTTTCCGAGCAGGGCCGGTAATGGAGAACTTTGCGATGGACTTGCTCCTAAGTTTCCGAGTTTTTGTTGGACAAAGTCGCCGCACTTCGTTTACGTCTTATCGCGCTAGTATAAAGTAACTACTTCAACTCAGAGAGTTGAAATGGGTCAACGAGTCTGGATTTTCGAAATTTTCTTTCACGTTTTCTTTTTCTACCTTATTTATCACACACAAGATTTTAAAAGCCTTCAATCGCGGGCCGTCATAGTTTAAGAGTTATTGGGGAAGCCATGGGGGATGCTTGCGCGAAATGCGTAAGCGGCTGATTTCGTATTTCCCGCACGCGGAGCTACTTGGATGACCTGCTCGGAATTTTCAAAATGGTCTGGCACCAGGTTGTTTGCATCTCGTTTGCACCTGGCGAGAAAGAAAGTTTTGGAAATTCTCGGCGGGCACCCGCTTCACTTCAGATCCGAAGTTTTTTCGATAACTCGAAAATTATGGGTGCCCAATGGTCGTTTCTCCACATCTGGCCAGCGGAAACGACGTGTAAAGCGAAACTTTTGTAGAATCGAAGATTCTGGACAGAAGTCGGCTGGTTATATATTTTCACAGAAGCTATTGGAAACGGCGAGGATACATGTAACGTACATAAGGAGCGAATAAATAAAAAAACTTTTTTCGTGGAGATTGCACAGTGATTTTTGTTTTTGTAAGATTGTAGTGATTAAAGTCTTTTCTATTTTCCTATAAAATAATTGTTTATTAATCGCTTAGAAAAGATTACATATGTGTGTGGACTCGTTTAAAAATGTCTACATCTGTCGCAGTTTATTCTGAAACTTTCTCGTGATAATCAACTCTCAATCTGAAGTTTATTTTGTTTCGCGTTTAATACGTGCAATTCATGGTTACATATACTGCAGGAAGGAAAGCTTATAGGGTTTGTAGCAATACGGATTGGTATATGTAATCACGATCCATTGAAAAATAGCCAAGCGGCAGAAGCATATGGCGCTTCGGAATCGAGGAACACAGCTTTCCTCCACCTTTCTTTTTGATTTCCTCGTCAGCTGGTGCAGAGTATAATAATATTTTTGGTTCGAAGGTCGTTACTTCTTAAGTCGTGTGCCCGAACATTTCTGATATCTGAAGAAATACGGTTGCCTTTCATCGATTTTAAAGCACTTTCCGCGGAATAAATACTATAAAATATTTAAAAAAAATCGGAGAGAGAGAGAGAGAGAGAGAGAGAGAGAGAGAGAGAACTCACGCATACATTATGTCCTGTATTGAAACACATTCGCCATTTTGCTTAAAACTTTTTGAACTAAAAGATAAGCATTTGGTTTAGAAAGATCTATTTGATCTTAAAATTGTTTAGTTTTTAATATTAAATTATTCCATATTTATGCAAAATATGTCGTAAATTTTTGCTAAAGGAAACATTTAGTCCGAGAACAATTTTATAATGAAAAATTTTCTAAAAGGAAAGCATATAGCTCTCTTCTTGCTCACATATATATGTAAGTGTAATATGATACTGTTCATCTCGCAGAAACGAATCTTTTGTACTACATCTCTCGTAATTTCGCTCGAGTTCAACAAGATCACATACCTGCACGTCGTTATATAATTTGTCGTCTATGAAAAAAACATGAATCCATGGTAGTAAGTGCGGAACGATGCGCGTAATCACGGCAACATTGAGAAATGGTCGAGTAGTAGTAGCATCTGGCGGGCCGGACCGGGCCAGGAAGCGAGAGAGAAGCCTCCTCTGGTTTTCTTGTTGATTTCCTCGTCGTCCTGCGTGAACAAGAATAATGCTCTCGGCCTGGCACCGGACCCGGTACCAGATGCCGGCTCACGAAGATCGATACACGCCGTTGTTATTGCGTCCGGAAACGAGTATCGTTTATCTGCGAAGAAGGAGAGAGAGAGAGAGAGAGCGAGAGGAGGAAGTAGCAGCGGTTTCTACTCCGAATCTCGAGATTATTAAAGATCGAAAATAACAAAATTATCAATATAAAAAATAAATTCACGCTGCAGTAAAAACATAAAAATCTACATTCGTTCAATTTTATCTAAGTATTTTTTGTTTAATATAAATAAAAATTGTGGTATTCAGGCTATATTTGTTCTTGATACTGTAAGTTTTATTTTATTTTTATTGTTTATTATTCATATGTAAAAGGAAGATAGAATGAAACTTACTCCGTGAGCGTTCAAAGCGAGTGCAGTTTCAGTGCTGAGACACATCAGTAAAATTTTGCCGATTGCTTATTTATCTTAGACACATAAGCATAGACATAACAGCGTGAACTGCATATTCTCTGATTTTGTTAGCTTCTGTATTCCATTAAAAAGAATTGAATGGTATGTCGGCATTTTTCTTCAACTTGATATTTCAAAAAGAAACAGAACGATAGATTCAAGTTACTTCACTCTTTTTAAAGTGATAATTTCATAGAAATACGCAGTCTATTCTTATTACATCTGTGGTTAGATGTAAAGCTTCTCGTTCTTCCTGCTTCTTTCTATAAGTGTTCTATATTCATATACATATAAAGCGTTAATTAATTGAATTAATTAGGTAGTAATCAATGTTTGCAGTCCTTTCGCTATATTGATGTAGGTACTATGCATGCAGGATGCATTAATTTTGTTTTTCGAGTGTCTCGAATTATTTCTTTTATTTTAAATATATATAGATGAATATTTTTGCCAAGGTCTCGAAACTTAAACTTCCGACAGTCATAAATTGAGATATTTGTATTGTATATTTTGACAATAAGATCCTCCTCTTACGAAACGAGATAGGTCTCTAGAAGTCATCTACTGGAATTTTCAGGATTTCGAAATATCCTGATATTCTGCCCGATGTTTCTACGGAAGAGATTGGTTCAAAGACGGTACGCAGAAGCCAATGTGATTGTATGTGGATACGAAGGGGATTGCGGCAGGTCACGTCGCGCTTCACTTAAAACAAGTAAAGGCCGTGGCAAAACCGTAGGATGGAACCAGTGGGTAAACGGATAAACCTAAGCCGAAGGATCTCTGTCCTTCTCCATGATGCGTCTGGCCTATACGTGCTCAACGTTCAGGACATGTCTGCAACGAAAAATGGTCTCCGTGTTTCACAGAATATTCTCTATTAGAGTTGTGATACGAGTGCAAAAACTTTTGACGCTTTTCATAGCGGTTCGCTGGCTGTGGGTTATAAGAAAATTAATGGCTCGTTCGGATCTGCTTCTTATTTTAAGAAATGTTTTTCGTTGCTTTGAATAACAGCTAAAGGTGTATTAATACATCACTTATTGATTTCTAATTAATAATACATACAAATATTCAGAGAAAAACAATATATATTATTTTAAAAAATATAATAAAATATCTACATGCATCTCCATATACAAATTTTTATTACATCTTTTAATTTGAAAATTTAATTTCGGCTGATGAATTTCTCATATTATTACAATGTAACTTATATTTTCATAAAGGAATGGGTGAATGTATGTGTGCATCTGTAGATGTGATTTGTTATATATTCATATCTCTAAATTACACATTTATCTTACACATTTATCTACATTTATTACATATTTATCTACATTATACATCTAAATTACACATTTATCTATATTTATCTCTCTAAAAAACTATTATATAATGCATATATCATTTATTTCTAGAGAGAACTACTTGTATTTACTTGTTATATAACCATATTTGTATTTACTTGTTATATAATCTTCAACATACGATATCTCCGTTCCTACCAAAAGATAATACCACCTCGATATCAGAATCGTTCTGATTATATAAATATGACGTTCAGTGAAGTTTCATTTGCAGTTCGTATGAAACTACTGACCGCGATCTTCTCGGTTTATTATCAGATATTTTTTTAACTCTTCTGCGAAACTGGAATATCGCGATTTTACAATTCATTTTGTGACAAGCTAGTACATCTGACGGCTGCGAATAGAAGATATACAGGTAAGTATATGTGCTAGTATTGTTAATCGAAATGCCATTTCCACAAATTCACGGCTAAATTTCATGTCGCTGCGCGATTGTGAACATTCATAATTACGCTTTTTATGAGTTTGATATTATTTTCGGCTCGGTAGTTATTAGTGGCATGTCAACCACGAGCTACGTCGTATTTGCAGACAAGCAATTATGGATCGTTGGCTTGGTAAAACCGCAGTCGTTACCGGCGCTGGATCCGGCATGGGCGAAGCAATTACACGTGCTCTTCTGCGAAACGGAGTGAATGTGGTTGCTCTGGAAGTCCTGAAAGAAAGATTAGCAAAACTTGATGCGGATTGTAAGCGAGAACGTTTCCCGGGCAGATTATATACTATATGCTGCAACGTATCTCGCGAGGACGAGATCGATGCAGCATTCTTGCAAATTGAAACGTTCGGTGGTGTGGATATTATGGTCAACAATGCTGGCATTATTGAGGTATCACGAATAATAGGTATGATGATTATATAGAATATTACACAAATAAGAAATTTTTAAAGAATTATTTGTATAAATATCATTTAGATGCCGATATCGGTAATGAATTTTTCTTTATGGCTACTGTAGAAATACAATATGTATTGTACATATTATCTCAGTATTGTGCAATTGAGTTAATTCGATATTAATTTGAACTTATATATTTATGTAATTATTTCGGGAAATAACAAATATTATAATTCAATCAAAATTACATTGATATGCAGCTACAAAGTATTCGTGACTGTCAATACGTTTAATCTCAGAATACTTGAAAAATTCGAAAACCGACTAAATATCTTATAAAAATCTAGTGTCTTTTGATCGCAAAATATTAGTCATTCAAAAATAGCGTATTCAGTAGCAGTAGGGATATGGAATAATGTTTTAAGCGAAAAATGTTATGTTACTAAAAAAAAAGATCTTTACTTTTATTTGCTTTATTTTGCCACGTACGATCTGCAGCCAATTGTGGCTCTTATAAGATTTTAGCTTCCTCGATCATATTCATAGTTTATTAAAAATAATTCCATAAATTACATTTGCAGATAGCAACAGGAAGACATTTGAAAAGATATTAAATACTAATGTTCTCGCAGTCGCAGTATGTATGAATAAAGCAGTTAATTCGATGCGCAAGCGAAACAGTGAAGGACATATTTTCAATATCAACAGGTATTGTTATCTATGATTAGTACATTAACAATGATTGAATAAATAAATATGCCTTTAGAACAAATAAATTTAACAAAAAAATTTCCTTGGTTTTTCATAAACTATGAACGATTGTGGAAGATTTTTTAATGTACGTTTAATATTGATGTTTTTTATCCACAGTATTGTGAGCCATCACAGAATACCGAACGATTTGTTTGAATGTAATATGTATTTCTCTAGTAAACATGCATCTCTTGCTCTGACTAACACAGTGCGACGTGAAGTAGGAAAAATTAAGGCACCTATTCGAGTTACTGTAAGATAATATTTTTATAATATTATGTATAAATTATAACTTTTAATTAACAAGAAACGCATTATAATAATTATAATATTACTTTATTGATATATTGATGGCAAACCGTTTTACAATGAGATAATAGAAGCCACAAATAAAATACTCACATATATTATTAAATGCAAACAGTGATTGGTGCTTATATTTATCAGCATAATATTATAGCAGATATATTATCATGATGTTTATGATATTATTTTTATACAAAGTATTACGAGCTATGCTTCTGTTTATTATGTAGGTAATTATTACTTTCTTGTTTGGTTTTTTTAGGGCATTAGTCCTGGTACTGTAAAAACAAATATAGTTGCGCATGACGATAGTTTGAAAAACTTTTTTGAGAAAGCACAGTATATTCTACCGGAGGACATAGCGGATGCGATCATTTATGCTCTTGGAACACGACCGAGTGTTCAGGTTCAAAATATCATTAACGTACTTTCTTTCTAATAAATAATAAATATAGAAAAATTATTTTACGCCTTAATTAATTGCAGATTACGGAACTCACGATTCAACCTACCGGAGAATTAATGTGAGGAATATCTTCAGTAAGAGCCTGTCTATTAATGCATCAACAACTTTACGACAAACAACTTTTCGCTTACGATAAAGTAAAGAAAGTTAGTAGCTGGTAAAGACTAAGTTTCATATCGCTTTGCATTTTTTATATAAATACCAAATTTTTTATATTTAAGTTGTTTTCTTCCTATAATACTGTCTAAGTTTCAATAATAATTTTGCTAATCTAATCTTTTTCAATGTATTTACATTTTTAGTTAAACAGAGATAACAATAAATGATACAGTAAAATCTAAAATAAGGATTTTGTATATCTATAATGTTTGCTTTACGAGAAATATATGAAAAATGACATTGTAAGGATATTTATCGTTTATTTTACAGTGCATACTCGAAATTTATAGTCAGTATACTATCAGGAAACGAAATACTGACTATCAGATATCGCTGTTGTTTATCTCCCACGATGCCTTGTACTTGTACATGTCGTTCTAAAAAGATATACACGACATTCCGATTTGTGACAAATTCAGCTTATCGCGAAGCAACGTTATCGGCAATGCGTTCGCGTGTAATCGTTGCATTCAAATTTCGACGAAGTGGCTGCTACACACACCCAATAGTTACGTCCTGCTTGTCGTATGACAAATACAGCGTTATTTGGCATTTATACATGAACGATTGAAATGCGCGTTTCCTATACACAAAATGTGCGTCTCTCATATCTACGTTGTGCATCCGTATGCGTGCTTCTAAACATGAATTTCCGACAATAACGGCTTACAGCCGTACCGAGCTCGACTGTCAACTATGGAGGCATTCGAGTGCGAGCGATAGTTAAGGTGTCAAACAAGTTCCGTCGTGCTTCGCGCAGTTCGAAGGAATCGCGTAGCGTTATCAGGAAAATCGATTTTCGCGGCATGCATCGGGTGTCGAGTCCTGTCAAAATCTAAGTGTATGCCTCGTATTCTAGTTCTGCGATTAGATCTCTTCTCACAGCGTTATAATCAGATATTATATGCTATTCATAGGTGATTTTGAAAATTGACATAATATAATTTAATCAATATTTGCTTTTAATGGAGCTTACAATAAAATATATCATAATGATTATTATAAACTTAATCTATATAAGATATTTTGACATTTAAAATCTAAAATAATTTAAGAAATTTTTTGAAAAAAATAAGTTAAAAAAATATTTGCAATTTTTTATTCTGAGTAACAGTTTTCAATACATAAAAATTTAAGAATAGTTAATTACAGATTACGGTTAAACGGCTAAATCACCATGTGCGATCACTAACATTTATACGTGATCCACGGACAGATTTAATTGTAATTTGTACAGAGTGTCCTATAGAAAGTTACTGAAACTAATACACATACTAACAACTATGATTTTTAAACGTAGGGAATAGAAAAAAATATAAAATATTTTTTAAATAGAAAACATTTTTCAGTTTTATTTATATATAAAGTAAACGCACGATTTTTGAAATATTTGTATTATTCAATTACATGTTTATAAAAATATGAAATATCGTCCATATTAATGATATATATTTCGAAAATTTAAGAAACTATTTAACATCTCTTTTGACAAAAAGATGTTAAATAAAATTTTTTAAATTATCGACTGTTTTTATTTTATACATGAATATATAAAACTACCAATGTCTTCTATTAAAAAATATTTTATTTTTTCTATTCCCTGTATGTGCGTTTAAAAATGTCAATTGATTAGTTTCAGCAACTTTCCATGAAACATTCTGTAATTAGTCAGTTTTAAACCTTTATATTTCCAAAACTATTGCTTGGAATAAAAATGGCAAATACTTTTTTAACTTTTTTTTAGAATCATTTTACTGTGATATTTTGATTCAGCCTGCATACAGCCTGTATACATATAACTGTATTTAATATTGTTATATTACTGTATCCCTTCCAAACACTTATCAAAAAATAAATTGCAAGCAGTTTTAAGTTATGATAGTCGCCCACTATTACTTTACTTGCTACGATATACAATTAATAACGCGAAGACACGCAAAGAATCCGTTGCTTTTATTTCTCATTTTGAAGTGCTCTTAGCTGTTACATTAAGGAAAGGCGGGGGTACATAAGAAGCAAGATGTAAAACGGTAGAGTGATGATCGATAAAGATGTACTTGGTTCATGGGGCTGTCTGTATGGACGGGGGCCGGCATTTAGGAATTTATATTAAAATATGTAAATCTATCGGCGCGGGCATATTTGAAAACAGATAAATTATGCCGGCCGTGTATTGCGTTCCCGCGGTAAAATATCGACACTGCAGCATGGCGGTGCGGGAAGGGATTGAGGCTAACAGGCGGAAGCGGAGTTCCTCGCATAACGGCACGTTCTGTCGACCAGTAGAAATGCGATTTATGACGATCATTGTGTAACGATCATAAATTATCTCTTTATTTACGCGGGATGGCTAGCGTTCGCGCTACCATTGTTTTTCCATGCCTTTAGCGTCTTCCTCAAATAATAACACCTGATGCTTCCAAATTCTGTCGCTTCGTTTAGTTCGTTTACATTTTGCAATGATGAGTTTATCTCGCAAGTTAACACCCTGTCAGGTACTTGTCTGCGCAGTGCAAATGAGAAATTAAGTATTTTACATTAAGCTAAGCTGTTCTAATCGGTACAGAGATTTGAAACAAGCTTATAAATTGGAATTAATAGCAATTTGGCCTGCGAACGTTCATATACATATGTTATTGTATATTGGCTGCTATATTTCCTTCAAAATTGAAACTAATCTCGCAAATGCCTGAATTTACCAGAGCCACCAAATGTTGAGGAACAAACATCCCGATTTAACTTCCTTAAATGCGTTCGTAACTGTTTCTGACAGGGAACACCTCACTTTCTCTTCCCTACTGACTCGTACGCTAACAGTTGTTTGACCGTGTTTCTCTAGTTCTCGTATTTGAATTAGTCTCAGAGTATATCTTTGGTAAATCTAGACAATTGATAAGTACATTTAACGCTTTGAGGATGTTGAGAATTCTACATTCTTTGAAAATCGCTTATTTCTTTATTTGCTGACTTTAAATCCAAAAAATGACCACCGCATCTATTTACCGAATCTATTTTCTTTTATTATATGGTATTATTTTAGAAATTAAAAATAAACGAAATCGATTGAAATATAAATGCAGCGGAAAATTATACATATATTTATGGAATGTTTTTATACAATGTTTTTATACTTGGGTTCTTTTTTAAGAAAGAGAAGTAAAAATTTAAATAATTTGATTACTAATATATTCTGGCAAAAAACTTCGGTCTTGGTGTGTGCAAATAAAAGGAATACACTTTCTCTGAAATTGGGGCGCAATCGTGACGTGCCGCGATTGAGAATTAGAAAAACGATTTCGACGCGTCAAAAGTTTCGCAGCGTTTCGACTTATGTCATTAAAGCGAATATGCGAAGCGGGGAACGAATATGGCAGCTGAATACAGCAACGACGAGGAGTCAGCCGGGGTTCGCTAAGGGTTCGCGAGAGGGGCTCGGGGATGGTTGGATAGGTTCGTTAGCGGAACACTGGCAGTGCAAACATGCCCGCTTAAACCGGCTGCGTACGTGCGCCGATGCGGTGTCAGATTTGAAGTGGTTCGCGGTGACGGCGTGCACGTGACGCGTTAGAACGAAACGCGAACTGCGCGCCTTCGCCTACGACGCTGAGGGAGCACGACTGTTCGATATTGGCCTGTGCCATAGTACCGCACGTCGGGCTGAATATCGAGCGAGCCTGTCTGTTGACTTATTAAAAGCCGACTGAAATTGGAGCGAAGGCGGAAAATTCGATTTTCGGGATTTCGGCCGATTTCCGCGTTCATCGGAGTGGTGTGCGGTGACCTCAATTATTCTGCCACGAATGAAAGCTATTTTCCCGGAACAACTATACTGTGCGGTTTCTCTCAAGCGTACCCGAACATATTCCTGATAGACTTAGGCAATGACAAAATTTTTGCAAAGGTATCATTGCTACAAGATTCGATTATTTGCGAGAAAGAAACGAAACATATGCATACGTATAATGTTCTTTTTCTTAATAGCGAAAAATCGGATACTAGTATATATTATTCAAAAGATCATTTTATCATTATTACAGAATATTTATAACACAATTTTAACGAGCCTAATTAATTTTTGATTATCCCGAGATTCAAGGAATGTTCTTATAAATCTTTTTGATAAAGTAAGATATTCAGCAAAGTACAAAATTTGGATATTTTCTTAATTATCCTGTAATTCTTGAAAGGTTTTTTAGAAACATATGACACTGTGAACCACATTGATAACATATCTGATTACGTAAGAAAGATTAAATTAAGAACGTTGCGCCTATGTCTCCTCCTAATTGTCTTTTTACTAAGAATATTTTTTTTATGCACGAGCTAATGTACAATATGGCACGTACATGTAGCAGTTAGAATGTCGCAGCTGCAGTAGCTGGAGCACTGTATTCTTGTTCGGCGACCGGCTTAGTATACAGTGTATACGGCCTAAACCATGCACGTTATCTCGCGCTCCAACATCCCCCAGAGTCTACGCTTCTTCCTTAACATTGTCGTTGTTACTGTTGTCGCACTCCTTGCTTAATTCGCAGTTGCGAATCTGCGAAGCGGAGAAGTTGCAGAACAGTTTCCTCTCTTTCTTTCCCGAATGGAGAATTTAATCGTGTCTGCGCGATATGCGTCCAATTCGATGCAATCCGCGCGCGATGCTGAAACGTAAATTAGAACGTTGCGGAGCGATTGATATAATATATGAAATAATAAGTGGACGAAAATAATGAAGTCCGCGAGAGAGGATTGCAACTCGCGCGGTGGGACCTTGATTTTCCATTCTGTATTACAAGGGGCGTATCTCGCAGAATGAATATTACGCACGGTGGTCTTGTCGAGGTGAGCGCGGGAATCTTTCGCCTCCGTTATAAATCCACTCGTTCCATCCGTCTGCATCTCGGCGACATTCATGAGGGAAAAAGATGCGCATAATGTTATCAACGCATTCCCGACATGGCCGTGCATAGTTTAATCCACTGCGACGCTACTGATCCCCGCGGTACAGGATGAATTCCGTCTCCTCATCGTAGCGGTTGCGAGTAATATTGGACGAGGCTAAAACGAGAACTCTGAAGGATCATTTGAATAATGTAGATAAGTTTACTTCACTTGGAAAATACAGAAACAAGAAAGATGGCGATTTCTCCCAGAGAAAACATGCGCGCCCCATGGTTTTAGTCCGTTAAGAAAATACTGTCTATCGCGGAAACGCAATCTGGCGAAATATTAAATCGAGAGGATTTCGCTTCGCGAAATGCGTTGTTTTAAATTAAAACAGCAAATATATAACGAACATTTGTACAGTTAAAAATACGTCTTTCTATTTCTACTGGCTTTGAAAAACAATGTACAATTTTACATAAGATTATAGTTTGTATAATGCTGTTTAAAGAGAACCAAAATAAATATGCAGTAAAGATAAAGCTCGAATATAGAATGTGAGTTATAGAGCGGAAAAAGATCATAAATAATGGTGATGCGTTACATCAATTATTTTGCATTTATGTATCTCCGGGTGGAGCTTTGCTGCTTAAGCGGATGGTCGCGCTTTTGAAGTCAATGAATAAACCGGCAACGTTAAACATTAGAGAGCGTCAAATCTATTGAGCGCGATGCATTTGCAATGTGTATTGTGGAAATTGGTATTATCCATTTCATTCGGAAATAACATGGGCGGAGAAGAGAAATTCTATTATTGGTTAGCAAGCACCAGAGGTTTATGTACTCCGCTTTATGCGATAACGAAGATTATACGAATTAATTTGACTTTGCAAACGAATACACGACTGAAATTATTCACCCACGCGGATGCATATGATTTAAATCTGACGATAATCCCTAAGGATTATCCGAGAATTTTCTATCGTGTAACAAATGGTCGTGGTTTTCGAAATTGCGAAAATACTAATAATCGCAA